GGTCTCACCTGCAGGCAGTGGTAACCAGTCGCCCCCTCCCTCACACTCCAGAACACTCATGGAATATCTTTATTTTTCTGGAAGAATAGCACCTGTTTGCAGACATATTGCCCCACTAGACCTGCCTGCAGAATCCCAGATGTTCAATTGTCTTCTTTGTTTTTTTCCCAGGTTCTGCCCCTTAGGTACAAGTTGGCAATGTTTCTGCTGGGACAGTTGACAGGATCCATGAGTCACATGTATCATCTCTTTAGTCAACAACTACCCAGCCTCAACTTTAATGTTCCCTCCAAAGTACTCTTTGTTTGCATTTGCCATTGTAGATAAACTGAAGACTTTTTTCAAATTTTCAAGTCTGTTTTCTTTATTCTTAACATTCACTTATTCAATTTATTTCTTGCCTCACACATTTTTCTATACAAGCAGGAAGAAATTATGCTGCTCCTTCAGGACCTGGCTCACAGATCCCCTCAGCTCAATAACCTGGGGCATCAGGCAGGAGTTCTACTTTCCACACAACAGACCACGGTTGAGCCAAGTTCTCTGCAAGATTATAACAAGGGACATCTTTCCTCTTTGTTCCAATGACATACTCACTTTCATCTGAGCCCTCAGCGGAATAACCTCAAACTCAAAACTCCTTGAGATTCACGTAGGAATCAATTCGGATTATACCATTACTCAATTCCAAAGCTACTTCTACATTTTAAAAATATTTGTTATATAGCACCCTCTTCTGAGTACAAAAAAATCTATATTAATCTGCTTCAGCTGCCGTTAACAAAATGCCACAACTCAGGAACTTAAAACAAAGGAATATATTTTCTCCTGAGTGAGAAGTCTAGAAATTCAAAATCAAAGTGTTTTTGTGACCAATTCCCTTTGCAGCCTTCAGAGGAGGATGCTTTCTTGCCTGCCCCATCTTCTCATAGCCCCAGGGGTTCCATGGCTTGCTGATATATCCTAACCTTTGCCTCTGGTTTCATATAATATTCTTCTTCCTCTCCATGAGTCTGTCTCCCGGTTTCTCCATTTTATAAAGACACCAGTCATATTGGATTAGGGCTCAGAAGAGAGTCTTTAGAATTGCTGACTTACATAGAGATTCTAAAGACACACTGTGTAGCTTCACTTAGGACTTCAACAAATCTTCTTTGGGGGTACAGAATCCAACTTTTAAAACACCAAACTGTTAATCAGTCCTTCATAATTGATAGTAGATCTACAATGTAAAATCTATGTAAATCAGGACTCAATATCCATTTCCTTGTCATGAGACTACCAGACCTCAGAAAAGAATGCTCAGAAAATAATCCCAATATTTTAATTCTCAAACAGATTTATAAGTCTGTTTGTTATGTAGACATTCTTGGTGAATGTTTCCTAAATTAATTTTAATATATATTTATTTTTGATGAAAACTTCAAATTTTCAAAAGCTAATATTAATATTTTTAAACTGTCTTACTACTGAATTTTTATACTTCCATACAAGGAAAATTACTCAAATGCTTAAAAAGTCAGATTGTTTTACATGAATACTAATCTAAATACATAATAGGAACTAAGTAAAATATGATGATCTTATAATCATAAACACATGTCATATTTACTCCTTTGAGTAGGTCATAGCCTATAAGAAACTGGTAGTATGATTTCTTGGGGCAGGAAATGCATTGGCATTTATTTATGATATATTTGAGTTCAAGTATAATAACTTTTTCTAAGGAGCATTTTATTACAAGATATGTCACTATAGTGCTGTTTTCCACTTTATTCTGAAGTCAAAAGAACTTTCACTCTCTGTTTGACCCAAAACACCAATATTTTAAGATTACATGATCAAGAAACCTTATAATGGTGTGTATTTCAATATTCTCCTCTCTGTTCAAGACCTGCAATAATCTTTCATTTCCTTATTTTTCACAAGAGCAAGTATAATTTTAATAGATTCTTTTCCTCCTAGTGAGACCCTAATTAGACCTGCTAGTTTTCCCTTTGACTCTAGAAACCATCTGTGTGTTGTTTGTAGATTCTGTTCCTTTTTCCACAGGTGCCCACAATCCTTTGGTAGTCAGTGCAGTGGCCGGCTAAGACCTGCTTTAGTTATTTCTGAAGTCCTTTGCCTGAAGTGGAATTTATACTGAATCTGCACATCTCCCTTGAGGCCCACAACATTCCTGCTGAGTTCACCTCCTACTCCCTCCCAGTTGAAACTAAAGAGCTTTCCCAAAGCATGTACCTTTCCCACAACAGCCTTATAGGGTGGTCTGATCCTGTGCCATAGGTACCAAGCCCAGGTCCCTTCACCTCAACGAGACAACTTGCAGCTTCCATCTCACCCTCAGGGCTCCATGGAGGAGTGGCTGGGTACTGTCTTGAGACTGCACCATTCACCTTCTCCCTCAACCCAGTCCTGGTTCTTCTACTTCTCCATCTCATCCCAATAAACTTCAGACATACAAACCAGTGACTCAGGATCTACTCCCAAGAAGTGGAACTGGGACAATACCTTTAAATCCTGGGGGTTTCAGTAATGAATTAGTGATTATTTATGGCTTATTTTATCACCAAGAATATTATTTGAAGCATGATTCAGCCTTATTAGCATGTTTTATTTTGGCAAAGGGTATCAGTGAAATAACAATTTGATGAGAAATTTCCATGTAAGGAGAAATCAAAGAGGGTTTTCATAAAATAAAGGGAAGGCAATACAGAAGGAAATAATCACATTAAGACTATATTACTCAGTAATATAAGATATGTTACCTCATCATGTATGAAACCTGTGAATGCCCAGGCATTCTCATGGTTCTGCAGTTATAAACATTTGTTTCCACTTTTAAAGTAGAGTTCATTGAACTGTTATGTAGAGACAGGACTTTCACCTTTTAAGTGAGCTGTCAAAAGTTCTGTGGAGATTTCCTCTGTTTTTATCTTTTTGTTATGGGTCTATTTTTCGTTCTTGTATTTTTTCCAACATTGAAGTAGGATGTTTGTTCCCTTTCTTAATTCCATCAAAGGAGTGAGTGACTTCTAAAATTTTCCACAGCATGTTCATCTTATTCGTATTGATGGCTCTTGATTAGGAACAAGAAAAACAAAACATCATGCAAACTTTCATGTAATTAAAAACCATGACAAGGAGATCCAACATGGCGGCGGGCATGAAGAGATCAAGTCTCTGACCTCTTCAGCTGTGTGGGCATAGGGAGTCGTAAACCGTCTAAATGCTGTTTCCTCAGGATCACTAGGCAATGCTGAGCTGACGTGGATCTCGGGCGAACAGTCTGGGCCTCTCAGAACACACACTGAGCCCGGATCAGCTGAATTCAAGCTCCCATTCGCCTGCTTCTCGCAGACAAACTGCTGTGACTCAGCACTAAACGATCCCGCTGAAACAACTGGTCGGCCCTTCTGAACCTACGGAGGTAAATGCTAACCGAGCCTTCATAGGCAGTGGCCACAGGATTGAAACGGGGCTTGGGAGAGACAGTCAGGACCCACCCATTGCATTGGTCACACCGCAAAGGGAACGAACTGTCGCCATTTGCATGGAATACCACCATGGCAGACAACTGATGTCACCAGAATGTGGCGGAGGAGATAACTTCATTGAAACCAGTGGCGACAGGTGTGTAATCCCCTAGCCTTCCCTCTCCACACAGCTGGGAAACCTTAAGGGCCCCTCCCAGCTCTCTCGTGAGCGCCATAGCCAGACCAAGGGAATCAGGAGTGGCGCGGGACCCGTGGCGCGGAACTCCCGGCTACCGCTCCCACCAGTGCTGACAACTGAGGTCTCTTGCACCATCTACCGGGGGTGTGGCTACCGGAGGGCAAGCAAAATTCGCTGAGTGTTCTCAGCCCCAAGCTCTACAAACTTAGGGTGTGAGGGAATGGCAATCAGGGAGAGTGTGCCCAGTCATTCATGAAAACAGGGCTCCCGGGAGCAGCAGACCTGGCGTGTAGCCAGTATTGTGGTGAGCATCACCGGTGAGCGGGGCCTGGCTTGAGGAAAAGTGGGGAAGTGACTAGACACAAGAGAAGGCCCTAGGCACCCAGGATTGGAGACCCGCCCAGTCTGGGAGGAGGAGCTGCTGCACAGTGATTGGTTCCCGCACATTGAGAGGAGAAGCCTGGCCCAGTGGGCACAGCTCCACCTACTGGAAGAGAAGTTAATCAAACTCTAAGACTGCATTTATTTATTATTTTTTTTTTAATTTGGGTTTTTTTATTTTCATTTTTTGTTGTTGTTTTTTGAATTTTTTTTTGAATTTTTTTTTTAATTTTTATTTTTTTATTATTTTTTTAAATTGTTTTTCTTTTTTCTTTTCTATTTTTTTCTTTTGTCTTTTCAATTTTCTTATTCCCCCTTCCATGAATTCTACCTGTTTACTCTCATTCTCTCTAGTGACTTCTTCCCTTCCCTTCTAATACCTTTCCTCCCAAGCATCAAATAAATTTATAGGAGTAAACAGTAACTCCACAATCAAACAGAACAAGAAGTAACATGAGCAGCATGAAAAACCAAGGAAGAAAAGGAGTACAAACAATGCAGGACAGCCTAAATATTCAGGAGGACCTAGTCATCAGAATAAATGGTCAAATAAAGAACTCAAGGAATACCTTAGACAGATGGAATGGAACCTTAAAGAGGACATGAGACAGCAAATTCAAACAGTGAAGAACACATTGAAAATGAATTACATAAACAGATAAAAGAAGAAGTTAAGCATCTTTATCAGGAGATAGAGATTATTTAAAAAAATCAAACAATAATTCTAGAAATGAAGGAAACTATAAACCAAATTAAAAACTCAAATGAGAGTATCACTAACAGAGTGGAGCAAGTAGAAGCCAGAATGTCAGATAATGAAGACAAAATATATCATCTTGAAAAGAGTCTAGCCAACTCAGAAAGGCTGGTAAAAAATCACGAGAAAAACATCCAAGAGATATGGGATAACATAAAAAAAACTAAACTTAAGAGTCATTGGGGGGGGAGTCACCTGCGAGCCGCCGCGCCGGCCGGCTGTCCGCCGCGTCCGGAACGCGCTGGCTGCGCGGGTCCGCAGGCCGCACACACCCAGAGAGGTCGGGCTTGGGAACTGGCAGAGTCCGCGCCCGGCGTCTGAGACGAGGAGTCGGACCTTCGCGCTACTGCCGTTGCCCGTGCTCGGCCGGGCTATTAGCAAAAGATGGTGGATCGCTTGGCAAACAGTGAAGCAAATACTAGACGTATAAGTATAGTGGAAAACTGTTTTGGAGCAGCTGGTCAACCCTTAACTATACCGGGACGAGTTCTTATTGGAGAAGGAGTATTGACTAAGTTGTGCAGAAAGAAGCCTAAAGCAAGGCAGTTTTTCTTGTTTAATGATATTCTTGTATATGGCAATATTGTCATTCAGAAGAAAAAATATAACAAACAACATATTATTCCCCTAGAAAATGTCACTATTGATTCCATCAAAGATGAGGGAGATTTAAGGAATGGATGGCTTATTAAGACACCAACTAAATCATTTGCAGTTTATGCTGCCACTGCCACTGAGAAATCAGAATGGATGAATCATATCAATAAATGTGTTACTGATTTACTCTCCAAAAGTGGGAAGACACCCAGTAATGAACATGCTGCTGTCTGGGTTCCTGACTCTGAGGCAACTGTATGTATGCGTTGTCAGAAAGCAAAATTTACGCCTGTTAATCGTCGTCACCATTGCCGCAAATGTGGTTTTGTTGTTTGTGGGCCCTGCTCTGAAAAGAGATTTCTTCTTCCCAGCCAGTCCTCTAAGCCTGTGCGGATTTGTGACTTCTGCTATGATCTGCTTTCTACTGGGGACATGGCCACGTGCCAACCTACTAGATCAGACTCTTACAGTCAGTCATTGAAGTCTCCATTAAATGATGTATCGGATGATGATGATGATGATGATAGCAGTGACTAAACACACATTTTGAAATATTTAATTGGATCTGAGAAAATCATCTTTGGGGGAAATGCAAAATTCTGAGCTCTCCATTTACTCTAGCCATGAATTTGCCTGAGAAACTTTTAACCTATGTGCCTCAATATAGTCTAGAAAATAGGTACCCCCTGCCTGCTCTCTTCCCCACACTCTTCTACAGGGATGGACTGTTGTGAATATATCAGATAAAGTTTGGGTTTCTTATTCTTGTTCATTTCTAGATTATTTACTTGGAAAGTTGGGAAAAGATGTTTATTTAACAGATCATGTATTATATTGTTGTTTTTACTTTTGTTGTATGGAAAAACTAAAAGCACAGAATGTTTGGAACAGGAGTGTAGCTGATTAATTAATAAAGTTGTTAGTCTTTTTTAAAACCATCCTATCTAATGGTTAAGACACCAGTGACAAAAACACATGGTTTGGAAATACTTTGCTTTTTTGTATACCAAGTGGTGCCTTATGGTATTAGCACTGTTACATGATACATTAGTCCCTACTTTCTTACTTTTTGGTTTGTTTAAAAAATACACTGGTGCTCTTTGGGGTGATAAAATGAATGCTTATGAATGCTTGTTATTAGCAGTACTTCTCATTTGACAACTACAAATAACTAAATTTGGAGTTATCTCCATTCTATATGAATAAATATTTTTTCCATAAAAAAAAAAAAAAAAAAAAAAAAAAAAAAAAAAGAGTCATCGGGATAGAGAAGGTATAGAGATTCAAACCAAGGGAATGAGTAACCTGCTGAATGAAATGATTACAGAAAACTTTCCAGAAATAAAAAAGGAAACGGATATACAAATTGTAGAGGCATACAGGACACCGAGCATACAAAATCACAGTAGACCAACGCCAAGACACATTGTTATGAAGATATCCAATATACAGAACGAAGAGAAAATATTAAAAGCTACAAGAGAAAGGAGGCAGATTACATTCAGGGGTAAACCAATAAGGTTAACAACGGATTTTTCATCACAGACGCTGAAAGCGAGAAGATCCTGGAACAACGTATTTCAAACAATGAAAGATAATGGATTCCAACCAAGAATTCTGTATCCAGCAAAATTAAGCTTCAGGTACAACAATGAAATAAAAATCTTTCATGATAAACAAAAGTTAAAAGAATTTGCAGCCAGAAAACCAGCATTGCAAAACATCTTGAGCAAAACACTACACGAGGAAGAAATGAAAAACAATAACCAAAACCATCAGTGGGAAGTGCCTCAGTAAAGACAAAGGGCAGGGGGAAAGCTAATCATGGAGAAACAAACTAAATTAAAAAAAAAAGATAAATAATCAAACATGGCTGGAAGTACAAACCATATATCAATAGTAACTCTAAATGTTAATGGCTTAAACTCTCCAATAAAGCGACATAGGCTGGTAACATGGATTAAAAAAACAAATCAAACAATATGCTGCCTCCAGGAGACACATCTGATTGGAAAAGACATACACAGGCTGAAGGTGAAAGGTTGGGAAAAAATATACCATGCACACGGTCCTTGTAAGCAAGCAGACGTGGACATCCTCATATCGAATAAAATCGACTTCAAGACTAAGTTAATCAAAAGGGATAAGGAAGGACATTATATAGTGTTAAAAGGAACCATTCACCAACAAGACATAACAATTATCAATATTTATGCACCAAATAATGGTGCTGCGACGTTCATGAAACAAATTCTCCTCAAGTTCAAGAATCAAATAGACCACAACACAATAATTATGGGTGACTTCAACACACCTCTCTCACCACTGGACAGATCCTCCAAACAAAAGTTGAATAAAGAAACTAAAGAACTCAATATCACAATAAATAACCTAGACTTAACTGACATATATAGAATATATCAACCATCATAAAGTGGATATACTTTTTTTCTCAGCAGCACATGGATTCTTCTCAAAAATAGACTATATATTATGCCATATGGCAACCTTCAGTAAATATAAAGGGGTGGAGATAATACCATGCATTTTATCTGATCATAATGGAATGAAACTGGAAATCAATGATAAAAGAAGGAAGGGAAAATCCTACATCACATGGAAAATGAACAATATGTTACTGAATGATCAATGGGTTACAGAAGACATAAAGGAGGAAATCAAAAAATTCTTAGAGATAAATGAAAATACAGACACAACATATCGGAATCTATGGGACAAAATGAAAGCAGTTTTAAGAGGGAAATTCATCGCCTGGAGGTCATTCCTCAAAAAAAGAAAAAAACAACAAATAAATGAGCTCACACTTCATCTCAAAGCCCTAGAAAAAGAAGAGCAAAACAACAGCAAATGTAGCAGAAGGCAAGAAATAATTAAAATCAGAGCGGAAATCAACGAAATTGAAACAAAAGAAACTATTGAAAAAATTAACAAAACTAAAAGTTGGTTCTTCAAAAAAATAAATAAGATTGATAGACCCTTAGCCATGCTAACGAAGAGAAGAAGAGAGAGAACTCAAATTACTAACATACGGGATGAAAAAGGCAATATCACAACAGATGCTACAGAAATACAGAAGACAATTAGAAATTATTTTGAAAACCTATATTCCAATAAAATAGAAGATAGTGAAGACATCGATAAATTTCTTAAGTCATATGATTTGCCCAGACTGAGTCAGGAGGATACACACAATTTGAGCAGACCAATATTAATGGATGAAATAGAAGAAGCAATCAAAAAATCAAAAAACTACCAACCAAGAAATGCCCAGGACCGGACGGGTATACAGTGGAGTTTTACAAAACCTTTAAAGAAGAATTAATACCAATACTTTTCAAGTTATTTCAGGAAATAGAAAAAGAGGGAGCTCTTCCAAATTCATTCTATGAGGCCAACATCACCCTGATTCCGAAACCAGACAAAGACCCCTCAAAGAAAGAAAACTACAGACCAATATCTCTGATGAACCTAGATGCAAAAATCCTCAATAAAATTCTGGCGAATCGGATACAAAAACACATCAAAAAAATTGTGCACCATGATCAAGTAGGATTCATCCCTGCGATGCAAGGATGGTTCAATATACGGAAATCAATAAATGTTATTCACCACATCAATAGACTAAAAGATAAGAACCATATGATCATCTCGATAGACGCAGAAAAAGCATTTGACAAAGTACAGCATCCCTTTATGTTCAAAACATTAGAAAAACTAGGGATAACAGGAACTTACCTCAACATTGTAAAAGCTATCTATGCTAAGCCTCAGGCTAGCATCATTCTCAATGGAGAAAAATTGAAGGCATTCCCTCTAAAATCTGGAACTAGACAGGGATGCCCTCTATCACCACTTCTATTCAATATAGTTCTTGAAACACTGGCCAGAGCAATTAGACAGACGAAAGAAATTAGAGGAATAAAAATAGGAAAAGAAGAACTTAAATTATCACTATTTGTGGAAGACATGATTCTATACCTAGAAGACCCAAAAGAGTCTACAAAAAAACTACTAGAACTAATAAATGAATTCAGCAAAGTGGCAGGATATAAAATCAACACGCATAAATCAAAGGCATTTCTGTATATCAGCGACAAAACTTCTGAAACGGAAATGAGGAAAAACACTCCATTCACAATATCCTCAAAAAAAAATAAAATACTTGGGAATCAACCTAACAAAAGAGGTGAAAGATTTATACAATGAAAACTACAGAACCCTAAAGAGAGAAGTAGAAGAAGATCTTAGAATATGGAAAAATATACCCTGTTCATGGATAGGCAGAACTAACATCATCAAAATGGCGATATTACCAAAAGTTCTCTATAGGTTTAATGCAATGCCAATCAAAATCCGAACGGCATTTCTTGTATAAATAGATAAAGCAATCATGAAATTCATATGGAAAAATAAAAGACCCAGAATAGCAAAAGCAATTCTAAGCAGGAAGTGTGAATCAGGCAGTATAGCGATACCAGATTTCAAACTATATTACAGAGCAATAGTAACAAAAACAGCATGGTACCAAAACAGGCGGGTGAACCAATGGCACAGAATAGAGGACACAGAGACTAATCCACAAAGTTAAAACTATGTTATATTTGATAAAGGGGCTAAAAGCATGCAATGGAGGAAGGATAGCATCTTCAACAAATGGTGCTGGGAAAACTGGAAATCCATATGCAACAAAATGAAACTGAATCCCCTCCTCTTACCATGCACAAAAGTTAACTCAAAATGGATCAAGGAGCTTGATATCAAATCAGAGACTCTGCGTCTGATAGAAGAAAAAGTTGGCTCCAATCTACATATTGTGGGGTCGGGCTCCAAATTCCTTAATAGGACACCCATAGCACAAGAGTTAATAACATAATCAACAAATGGGACTTACTTAAACTAAATTTTTTTTCTCAGTAAGAGAAACAATAAGAGAGGTAAATAGGGAGCCTACATCATGGGAACAAATTTTTACTCCTCACACTTCAGATAGAGCCCTAATATCCAGAGTATACAAAGAACTCAAAAAAATTAGACAATAAGATAACAAATAACCCAATCAACAAATGGGCCAAGGACCTGAACAGACACTTCTCAGAAGAGGACATACAATCAATCAACAAGTACATGAAAAAATGCTCATCATCTCTAGCAGTCAGAGAAATGCAAATCAAAACCACCCTAAGATACCATCTCACTCCAGTTAGATTGGCAGCCATTCTGAAGTCAAACAACAAGTGTTAGCAAGATGTGGGGAAAAGGGTACTCTTGTACATTGCTGGTGGGACTGCAAATTGGTGCAGCCAATTTGGAAAGCAGTATGGAGATTCCTGGGAAAGCTGGGAATGGAACCACCATTTGACCCAGCTATTGCCCTTCTCAGACTATTCCCTGAAGACCTTAAAAGAGCGTACTACAGGGATACTGCCACATCAATGTTCATAGCAGCACAATTCACAATAGCTAGACTTTGGAACCAACCCAGATGCCCTTCAATAGATGAATGGATAAAGAAAATGTGACATTTATACACCATGGAGTATTACACAGCACTAAAAAATGACAAAATCATGGAATTTTCAGGGAAATGGATGGCACTAGAGCTGATTATGCTAAGTGAAGCTAGCCATTCCCTAAAAAACAAATGCCAAATGTCTTCTTTGATATAATGAGAGCAACTAAGAACAGAGCAGGGAGGAAGAGCAGGAGGAAAAGGTTAACATTAAACAGAGACATGAGGTGGGAGGGAAAGGGAGAGAAAAGGGAAATTGCATGGAAAGGGAAGGAGACCCTCATTGTTATACAAAATTACATATAAGAGGTTGTGAGGGGAATGGGAAAATAAACAAGGAGAGAGATGAATTACAGTAGATGGGGTAGAGAGAGAAGATGGGAGGGGAGGGGAGGGGGGATAGTAGAG